GAATTGAGAGATTGGAGGGAAAGAAATGTTTGATGGGTAGAGAGAGGGACGAAAGAAATTTGGGTATTAACGGGGATTAGATAAAAAGACTCAAGGTGTTAAAAGAAATGATGAGGTTGGTAAAAGGGAGGAAGATAGCTATGGGAAGAGATATTCTTATTTTGGGGGAGGGCGTGGATTCACCTGGTGGTGGTAAGGATTTACACTCAACCTGGTGACACACCTGGCTTGGTGCTCAGGGGACCATATAGGGTACAGGGAATTGAACCAGGGTCAGCCAGCCATGTGCAAGGCAAACATCTTGATTCCTGCACAATCTCTCCTTCCCAGAAAGTGAGAAATTTTTAAGTGAGCCAGTTTGGGGCTCTTCCAAGTTTGCTAAGGAGAACTTTAAAATTGTAAATTGCCTTTTGTAAGAATTTACCATATTTGAATTGCAGATCGGGAATTGAATTAGTGCTTTAATGATGAAGTATGCAGTTTGAGGGAGAAGAGGAAGGCTTCCCGATAGAGAATTACCCATGGAATTGGTTAATTGAATCAGACCTAAAGAATAGTCCCCTTGTGAAGAGCCAAGGACATTCCCTCGTGTAATTCCCATTAGGAGTCAAGGGGAAAATAGAAGAGACCTCACAGAAAACCTGGGCATATTCCCAGTCAAGAGTTAGGGTAGAGTTCTCTCTACTTGACAGCCAAAGAAAAAATTTTTGCTTGGGAATAGCAGAGTAACTAATACCATGTTTCAACAGACAAATTGTGTTGAGCTCTGGCTTAAGAGTTGAACTCAAAGAAAGCTCACTGAGTTTCTCAACCAGAGCAAAGTTTAAATGACTCAAAAAGTTTTATTGAGGTGGGGATGAGGTGGGCTCATAAACAAAAGTCCAATTCCCATCATAGTACAAGTGTCAAAGAACAAATTTCTAGTTAGAGAGTTTATTGAAAGATTATTGTGATAGGGAGAATACTTTGATTGTAAGATCTGCAAGTATCATTGATTCGCATGTGAAAATGATTTCTCCTGTAAATAGAAGTGAACAGTGCCTTCAGAGTCTGTGGGAGAGGTAGGAGTTAGTTAGCACATGTCAGGAGCCTGTGTGTGTGTGTATGTGTGGGTGGGGGGTGGGGGTGGGGTTGTGTGGTTGTAGGGATTGAACCCAGGGCAAGAATGCCAGGCAAGCAGAGAAGGTAAGCAGTGCCCAGCTCTGCCATTGAGCATCACTCCTACCCCCAGGGCAGTTCAACATGTTTTTTTCAGAGAGCTGAAGCTGGAATGAGTCTTTTAAGAGAGTATGATCTTCATTTGTTTGCACACCTATCCAAGTTTAGTCCTCTGTGGGGAGAAGGACTAAATTTGGTCAAGTGGAGTCAGTGGTCATTTGTGACACTTGCTCAGTGATTAATGCAAAGGCCTTTTGGATTTGTGACAAATACATTTTTGGATCAGTTTCTGGAAATTCCTTTTGAATATTGGTAAATTGTTTACATATTACTGTCTGATGTAAAATATGCTAGGATTTAGGGATAAATGATAGTTATTAGCAATGACTCCTATTTCCAAATGGTAAATGGTAGAGACTAAGGGTTCGAAGAAGAAAGGGTGAGGCAGTTGGAAAGAAAATATTTGAATCTGGTCTTGAAGGATGTAGATGTGTTTGGTTGATAAGAGAGAAATAAGAAGTTGGCAGGGAAATGAAAGTATGTACTGAGATGATGGAGTGTGATGTGCTTGCAGTGTATGAAAACAGTTTGCTACTAGGGAGGTAGTGCAGAGGGGCTGGAGTGTATGCACAACCCTGGCTTCCATCTCCATGGTCTGGAGCACTGCCAGAAACAACCCTGAGCCTCACTCAGTATGGCCTCTCAAACCAAAAAACAAAACAAAAGACTCATGTAGAAGTCATGAGTGGAGAACTGTGTATATATTATGAGTTTTTTTTTTTTTAATGTGTGTGTATTTGTGTATGTGGTGCTGGGGTTTGAACTCCGTCTCATACGTGAAGGCAAGTGCTTTACCACTGAGCTACATCCTTGGTGTCTTAATCTGATGTATTTCTTTAGTGGATGAAGATAATATTGCAGATCAGACGATACCTTTCAGATAACCATATTCTTTGTACTGTTGAATATATATTGGTGACAATATTGATAGAAGAGCTCAGTGTGATTGCACAGGATAAACTCTCTGGTTTCCTTTTATTAGTGTGAAAGTTCCATGCAGTCCTTTATAATTCTTAGCTATAACCAGTACTGCTAATTTAAAAGAAATTAACTTGTCTCCTACACCCTGTACCCACTTCCTCCCTCCTTCACTTTTTTTTTTTGGTACTCAGAGTCTCTAAGTGGCAGAAGGATTCTTTGAACTTGTATACCAGATACTTAGTAGTAGTATTGATAATGTTTGATTTGAAAGTCATAAAAGACATTTGGTTGTTACCTACTGTGTACACATTTAGTATACAAATGGTGGTTTTGCCAAGATAGTATCATAAAGAAAGGTGCCTGCTAAGTATTAGGTTATTATTCTTGGATTTAAACTTTTAAGTGCTGTAGGCCTAGTTCTTATATGTGTGCTGCACTTAGCATTGTACTCCCTCTCCCTTTTTACCTCACCAGATGGTTGTCAAGGACCGTGTAATGCCATGAAATAGCCAGGGGTCTCTGCTTGGGTAGCATGAGTTCTGATTCTTACACCCATCTCTCTCCTAGCCTTGTGTCCTTAATTAATAGAAACCATTAGAAACCTTTCCTATGATTCTTGTGATTGGTTAGTACAAGGTGTCTCAGTAGACGGATGCTTTGGACACATATGGGGCGGATACTTCATCAGTGTGAAGTCCTAAAATGTGAATCTGTGAGGAAATTTGCCATTTGCTAATTTGCCAGTAGCAGCAGCAGATACACAGTACAGAAAGGATAGTAGTTTTCTAGCTAGATCTGTATTATTTATATGTAAATTTATTCTTATTTTTTGGACCTTACCTCATGGTGTTTGGGGTCTACTCCCAGCTTAGCCTAGGGGGTTTAGGTGACCATGTGGTTGGTGTCAGGGATCAAACTTGGGCCCCCACATGCAAATCAAACTTGCATCCCCTGGTTAACTCATTGTGTTCCTTTCCAGATCCTGCTCCCACTTTTTTTTTTTTTTAACAAAAAAGGTTGGATTTAAACAAAACAGCAGTTTAGGGCTGGATCAATAGTACAGTGGATAAGGTTCTTGCCTTCCACGCAGCTGACCTGATTTTGCTCCCTGACATCCCTTATCAAGGTCCCCTGAGCACTGCCAGGAGTAAATCCTTAATGCAGAGACAGACATAACCCCTGAGTGCTGATGAGTGACCTCTCCCCCCAAAAAAAACTTAAAAAAATTTTTAAAAAGCCGTTAATGTTGTACTTAATTTGACTTTTAGAAATACATTTCTTTACACTTTAGAGCACTGTTAATTAAAAATACTAATGTTTTTAGAAAGGATGAGTGGTTGCTTTAATGTGGTATTTGATTTAGGCTTTGGATGACACAGTTTTATTGTGAGAGAACATCATGTAGATGATTGCATCCTAATTCTGGTCTTTTTTTCACTGCTTTGTCATCTTTTTCTCTGCCATTAGATCTGTGCTATCCAATACAACCACATGTCTTTTTAAATTTAAATTGTGATGAAATAAAATTAAAAAATAAATTTTTCAGTCACGCTAGCTTCATTTCAAATGCTCCTTGCCGCATGTGGTCAGTATCCACTAAATTGCACAGTGGAGAGAACATTTCTATCATCTCAGAAAGCTGTGTTCCACATTGTTACTGTTGAGGAAAGTAAATGTTAGTAGCTTGCATTAAATCCTTTGAAAAGCAAACCAAAAAAATCCCACAGAATTTGCTCCACTTTAGTCCTAACAGCTAAAGTCAAATATTAATTCTTTAGGCTTTATATTTATTTAGTATTGGGAGGTCATTCTAGTAATAGTTTAACATGGGTAAATAATAAAGAAAAAATTTTTATAAAGAACTGTTTTCTGAACTCTTATGAATGTATTGATAAGTAATAGATTGCACATATGTAAAGAGCAAAATTAGTAAGTTTTGTCATTGTTTACACCATTAGACTTATCATAATCTATATAGTACAGTCATCATCCACAATTGTCTTGGTTACTTATCTCCTGTTACTCATTCTTTCACCTCCAACTACTGATCTGCAAACACAATGATTTTAATTTTCTGCAGTTTTATGTAAAATTTTTTATATTAGAATGGATGATAATAATATTACATAGGTTCTGATGAGTAGTGGTGAACACATGTCAAAACTCACTAAAATTTACATTTGTACAATTTATTACATATCACTGTCACTGTCCTCCTGTTGTTCATCGATTTGCTCGAGTGGGCTCAGTAATGTCTCCATTGTGAGACTTTGTTGTTACTGTGTTTGGCATATCAAATATGTCACGGCGAGCTTGCCAGGCTTTGCCGTGCAGGTGAGATGCTCTTGGTAGCTTGCTGGGCTCTCCGAGAGGGGCGGAGGAATCGAACTTTGGTTGGCCAATTTTGGCCGTTTGCCTTGCACTTGGCCAACTCAGGTTCAATCCCCAGCATCCCATATGGTGACCCGAGCACTGCCAGGTAACTCCTACCGGGTGTGACCACACAAACAAACAAACAAACAAACCCAAAAAACCACCATTTTCTTGAGTGACTGTGCCATTTCTATTCCTACCACTACATTATGAACATTTAGTTTTCTCCAATTCTTGATAGGGTCACAATTTTTAATATTATCTGACAAACTACTTTGATGATAAAAGGACTACTTTGATGATAGTTTTAAATTCCCTTCTTGCAACTTTTTTAAAAGCTACAAAAATAATTTACTTGAAAATATTTTAAGCACGGGCTGATAACTTATTTTTGGGTACTTACTCACTAATGCAGATTGAAAGTAATTTTACCTAAGAACTAATACGATAACTTCCTGTTTACTTACATACTTTTCTTTTTGTTTTAGCGGCCCCTTTGTTGCTTTATGCAAACAGACGGGATTTGCGATTGGTGGATGCTACAAATGGCAAAGAGAATGCCACCATTGTAGTCGGAGGCCTGGAGGATGCTGCAGCGGTGGACTTTGTGTTTGGCCATGGGTTGATATACTGGAGTGATGTCAGCGAAGAAGCCATTAAACGAGCAGAGTTTAATCGAACTGAGAGTGTGCAGAATGTTGTGGTTTCTGGATTACTGTCCCCTGATGGACTGGCATGTGATTGGCTTGGAGAAAAATTATATTGGACAGATTCAGAAACTAACCGGATTGAAGTTTCTAATTTAGATGGATCTTTACGAAAAGTTTTATTTTGGCAAGAGTTGGATCAACCCAGAGCTATTGCTTTAGATCCTTCAAGTGGGTAAGTTTTTATTTAATGTATGTCTCTTTTAATGCTCGATGGTGTCGCTTTTTTTCTGGTTTGTTTTCACTAGCACATGTATCTTTATTCTTAAGGGAAAAGGAAGATCCAAAACCCAAATGTCTTTTTTTTTTTTTTTTTGCGGGGGGAGGGGGTAACACTTGGTACTGTTCCGGTGTACTCTGGGGGTTGCTATCTTGGGTGCTTGGGTGGCTGCATGGTGACAAACCTGGACCCATAACGTGTGAGACATACACTCAGTCCATTGCATTATTTCCCTAGCCCTGAAAGCTTAGATTCTTTTTTCGTTTTTATGTCAAGTAGATTTGAATGTACAAAGTTAATGTTTTCTTAAAGGAAGGTGTTTCTGTAGTTTTTATTTTTAATAGCACTTAAGGAATAAATATATTTATAATCACTGTCACTGCCCTCCCATTGTTCATCGATTTCCTCGAGCGGGCCCAGTAACGTCTCCATTGTGACAATTGTTACTGTGTTTGGCATATCGAATATGTCACGGGGAGCTTGCCAGGCTTAGCCGTGCGGGTGAGATACTCTCAGTAGCTTGCCCGGCTCTCCGAGAGGGGCGGAAGAATTGAACTCGGGTCGGCCATGCACACTTGTGCATGCATACACATAACTCCCCCTCTTTGGTAATTTCAGTTTTGCTATAAAAGGTCAAGCAAGTGTTTATTCTCGTTTGATACTTGATAATATATATTCCCATTTTTTGGTTGTTTTCTGTATACCACAGATAAGTGAGATCTGATATTTGTTCTTTTGCCTTATTTCACTTAACATGATGCCCTCCAGTTTGATCCAAATTGCAGTAAACCAAACTGCAAAATTTCTGATTTCCTTCCAGCTATGTAATACTTCATTGTGTACATATATCACAGCTTCTTTATTCAATCATTAGTTGAACATTTGGGTGTGAACATTTGGGTAGTTTCAGTCACCTGGTTTATGAACTTAGCATTGCAGTGAACATAAATGTATATCTTTTCGAATTAATATTTTTGTGTTCTTGGGCTAGTTATTAAGATAGGGCATCAAAGTCAGAAGGAAGCATTATTTTTAGTGTTTTTAGAAATCTCTTCTGTTTTGCATTGAGGCTGAATCAGTTGATTTTCCCGCTAACGGTGACAGAGTTCCTTTTCACCACATCCCCACCAGCAGCCTGTACCAATAGTTTTTGTTTCCAGTCTTTTTTTGATCTTTGCCATTTTCACTGGGTGAGATGATACCTTATTTGTGGTTTGGGTCACACTTGTGAGTGTACTACACACCTGACAGTTCTTTGGCTTTGTGCTCAGAAGTAACCCCTGGCAGTGCTTGGGGTTCCTTGTGTGGTGCAGTCCACATACATACAAGGCCTTATCTCCTGTAATATCTTTCCAGCTAAGATACTATTAATGATTTATTTGATTTGCATTTCCCTGCAGCACTTTTTCACATGCCTGCTGGTGGTATGCCCTTTTTGTGGAACTGTTTTCGTCTCTCCCTGTTTTTGATGGGGGTTGCTGTTTTTTTTGTTGTTGCACTTCTTCGCGAGTGCATTATATATTTTGAGTATTAGCCCTTTATTTGATGTATGGTGTGCAAATATTTTTTCCCAGTTAGTGAAGCTATCTTTTAATTTTAGCCCTAGTTTCTTTGTGCAAAAACTTGTCAGTTTGACGTAATGACATTTGTTTGATTTTTGTTGCTTTTGCAAGTGGAGTTAAGCCTTTAAAGATATCTCTGAGGGCTGTAGCCTAGAGAGATCTGCTTATGTGTTCCTCTGTGTTTTATAGATTCTGGTCTAATCTCAAGGTCTTTAATTCACTTTGGCTTAACTTTTTGTATGTGGTGTCAGATAATCGGTTTATTTGCCTTCTTTCCTTTTTTCTTTTTGTATGTATCTGTCGAGTCTTTCATTGTACTTGCAGAGGTGTTTCCTGTTCCATTTCAAGTATCCCTCTTCTTTGTTGTATATTGTCCATATATTTGAGGGTTTATTTCTGGACTCTTAGTTCTATTCCATTGGTCTAAGAGTCTATACTCCAGTCTATAGACACCCATTTTAATTACTATAGTGTTATATATGGTTTAATACAATGCCGTCAATATTTTGATTTTTAAGCCATGCTTGCTAGTGCTTAGGCCTTAATTTCTGCCTCTTTGCTCAGGTACTACTCCTGGTGTTACGCCAGGGACCATACTGGTTGCTGGCTAGCGAACCTGGGTCAGTCGTGTGTAAGACAAGTTTCTTGCCTGCTCTACTCTCCCCTGGCACTCTCATCCTTTTTTCTCAGAATATTTAGGGACTATTTGGGGACTTTCATGATTCCTTATAAATCTTAGTAACATTTGTTGTAAGTCTTTGAAGAGTGCAGTTGAAATTTTGATGTAGATTTTATTTAATCATTGAATCTGTGTAGTGCAGATGGGATAGTCATTTTAACAGTGTTAATTCTTCCAATCCATGAACTTGAAATATTTTACCTTTTCTGGTGCAGGATTTAATACTGTCATGAGGAAATGAATCATTCGCATTTCCACTATACCTCAGCCCCACCGAGAACTAATCAGCCCCACCGAGAACTAATCAGTTCGGGGAATTGGGGATGTGGCTTAAGGGTAGAGAGCACATGCTCATCTTGTGTGAGGCCCTGGTTTTGATTGTTGCCACTGAGGGTAGCTCCCTTCTCTGCCCCTTCCCCAACTCTGCTGGGTTTGCTCCCCAAGAACAGTATCAAAATCAAATCAAATGAATACACTTCTGGGTGGCAGGTTGATAAGTGTCTTAGGAAATTTGCCATGTAGTGAAAAAGTACACTGGGCCACACCTGTGGTGTTCTGGGATCACTCCTGGCTGGGCTCAGAGGACCGTTTGGGGTGTTGGGGATCAAACCCTGATAGGCCGTAGGCAAGGCAGGAACCTACCTACTATACTATGGTTCCGGCCCTTATAGCTTTAACTTATTCATGGTGCTTTCCAGTTTTGGAAGTGAGGATTTACCAGTACCTTAGCTGTTCAAAGAATATTGCTGTGGGGAAATGTGCCTGCCACAGAAGCAGGCTGTGGCGCAGAAGGAAAAGTGGGGACATAGGTGGAGGGCAATGGTGTTGGAACATTATGTGCCTCAAACTCAATCGCAAATATCTTTGTAATTTTGTCATTTAGTGATTCAATTAAAATATATTTTAAAAAGAATATTGCTGGTAGAATCAATAATAATATGCCTTGAAGGTATAAAATAGACTTACTTAAACTTCTAAGGAACATTCAAGTGAAGATTAACTGTAGTTTTCCTAAAGATTAAAAGCTTGACCAAACAACTGTAGTGAAATTTTATTTTTATTCTCATTGTGTTAATTTGTTTGTGGAATATAGGTCTTATTGGTCTTAAGACCTTATACATGCAAAGCATATATTTCAGCACTGACTTATGTTCCTGGCCCATATTCCTAATATCTGCATTGGAGTGATAGCACAGTGGGTAAGGCATTTGCCTTGCACGCAGCTGACATGGCCGACCTGGGTTCGATTCCTCCACCCCTCTTGGAGAGCCCAGCAAGCTACCAGAGAGTATCTAGCCCACAAGGCAAAGCTTGGCAAGCTCCCCTTGAGGTATTCAATATGCCAAAAACAGTAACAACAAGTCTCACAATTTGTTACTGGTGCCAGCTGGAGCAAATCGATGAACAACAGGAGGACAGTGCTACAGTGCTGCATTGTGTAATTTGGTGGAGGCCGGAGGGGAGAGATGGACTTAGAGAAGGTGAGAGGGAGAGAGATGACGTGTGGAAGTTCCTTTACTTCCTTTCAATTTTTACTTCCTTTAACAAAATTTCCTCTTAAAATTTCTTTTAATATTTGAGAAGTGGTTTTCTGTCACAACTTATTTGCCCCCCGTATGGACCGGACCGTAGGTGCTACTGGAACTGGGGGCATGCAGGGAATAATTTGAAAGCGATATAGCTAGAAAAAATCAAAAGTAGCAGAATGATCCACATTTGTTCATAATTTCAAATTACATGCCAAATTTACATATTTGAAAACATTCTATCAACCTTTTGGTGTTGATCTTTGATTTGTATTAAGATTAATATAATTTTAATGGAAATTTTAAATGATTTTAATGGGAAATAATTTTAGATTGAGTACATCACTTTTTTTCAAGAGATAATTTTCAGATTTACTTTCTTGGGGAAAGATGAAGTTCACTCTCTTGAGAAAGTACGTGAAAATAGTGCTGAGGAAAAATGTAGGCTTTATCAGCGCTCTAGCATCCGGGTTTCGAGGTTCAGAAGTGCTGACTGAGCTGTCTCACATCAGCTTATGTAAAAGGAAAGCTGTTGAATGACTGGTATTGTTCGAGCCCTGGGAACTAGTACAGACATCTGTGTGCTTTCCTATGTATGGAGTTCTTTGTGTAATCAGTCTATTTAGCCTAGATTGAAGGAAGATTTTTATTTCCTTCTCTAAATTTGGCCTCTATTAGCCTGAAATTTTTTTTCCCCTCTTGAGTGACTGGCAGTGTAGAATTCAGAATAATGAAGAAGAAAACATGCGCATGAAACTTGTTCCAGAAATTAATGACCATAGTTATGGAAAGCAGTTTCTTCAGTTTATAGTCATCAGTAATAATTCTTGATTTTGTGGATACTCTTAATGATGGAGTTCCTTAATCTGTTACATCTAAAGGTTTTTTTTGTTTGTAAAAATGATTTAATTCAAAGTCTTTTTGAATAATTTTTAAGTTGATTTAACCTGAAATGAATTAATACTGTGTCATTTTGAATGGCATAAATTTAAAAGTGTATTTAAAAAAATAAATATAGTAGACACTCCCCCCCCCCCCCCCCCCACACACACACACACACACTCCAATTTTGCTTTAGGAACACTTACAGACCTAGTTTGCTCTTCGGAAATTAATGATGTATATATATTTTTCCCGTAATTGTCACACTTGAGGATATTTAAAACATATTTTCTACTTTGATATTGT